GGGGGGGGGGGGGGGGGGGGGGGGGGGGGGGGGGACTCTGTTAGTCGGTGCCTCAGGACTGCAACAAGTGGGCAGCCATCTTGGCCCCCTGCCACATCTTAATTTGGTCTGGTCTAGTGTTCACCCCTTACCCTCTCTCTCTCTCTGTCTCTCTCTCACACCCACACACACACACACACACACACACACACACTCCATCCCGTCTTCTCTCCGCCGGCCCACAAAGCCGTCATTGTGCCGCCGCACTGTCCTCGTCAGACGTCTCCAATTAAGCGCGGAGATGGGCACCGTCACGGTTCCTGAAACGTTTCGAGCGGGCCGAGAGTGTGCGTGTGTGTGTTTCAGTGTTGCTTTCCAATTGTGTGGATTGTCACTGTGGTATTAGAGAGCCAGAGAAAAAAAAAAAAAGTTCAAAGGTTGCCAAAGTTTGGGAAAATCGCCCAAAAAAGGGGCGGAGGGGGGGGGGGGGGAACAGTAGAGTGTCGCTGTGTTGAAATGAAGCCATAAACAAACCCTTTCAGGTTGCGTTAGATTCCAGTTGTGATGCAGTGTTGTGTTCCACTGGCTTCTGTTGCGTGTGCGGCTACGTTTTTGAAGCCTAAATGCTCACGGTTCACATATTAGCGTTTATTTTGAGATGGATTTCGACTCAACTCAGAATCGTACTTCCTGTAAAACCCCAAGTCTCTAACTTAAAATACCATCCGCAACACAGTCTTCCCTCAGTTAGATAAATGCAACAGGCCGTCAAAGAGCGCTGAAACCAGCAGCTGGCTTCTCTTTCCGGCTCCTAACCCCGGCACGAGGTTAACTAACGGCTATTTTTTTACATATATATACTTCCTTTAAGTTTTCTCAGAGATCGATGGCCTCCACAGTGATTCGTAAAAGACCCCAGCTGCTCGTACCCGGACGCGCAAACCAAGAATAACTGCAAGCAGGTGGATCCTGTCTGAGGCCAAAATAAATATGTCAAAGCTCTGATGATGTCAAGTGCTGGATTTGTTGTACATAGAGTTTGATTAGTGGCTAATTGTCGGCTTTACTCCTATTGTGCTTAGTTTTGAAAGCATGCATGCGTCTTTTCTTCTTTTGAGGAAGTCTGAAATGGTTTCGCCTCAATCAAACGAGCTGAAGTGTTACGTTAACGTTAAGTAAGTGGTGCCGGGTGCTTTTGTTTTATATAGGCTGTCAGAGCTGTCTACTTGACATACCGTAAATACCATCTACCCCTCATATCTGCCTCGGCCCGTTGACACCCCCCCCCCCCGACTGAAGTTTATCTCCCGAGAGCTTTGAAGAGGCCTCGTTTGTGGCCCGGGCTTGGCAGCAGCGAAGACTCCGGACCAGGAAAAATACCTGGAGGATTCCAGCGGATGTCCAGAATCAAAGCCGCCTCGAGGCCCGGCCCCCCCCGTCAGATGAGAGATGCCGAGCAAACGGGGATGCTGATGAGAGGACTGCATACCTCTCTTGACAGCCTGTTGATAGCAAAGTGACGAGATGAGCCGCTCTTCGGATAACCCACCTTGCTTATGGGGCAAATTAGGCGGTTCTCGTCCGTCTGCGTCATAAATCCACCGACCTGCTAGCAAAGATTTGTTTGAATGCATCTTTAGAGCTTTGGGCGTCGTGGATTAAGTCATAGTTTCCGTCCTCCTCGGCCTATTTTTGCTTTTGGAGAGCCTCCCTTAAGCAGGGAACTTTTATAAAAACCGTTCAGTTTAACACCGTTGTGACGCATTGGTACTGGCAACAGTGTCAAACCGCCATTTCTGAGAGTTTTGAAGTTGGAATGACAAAAAGATGCACGGCAGTCATTCAGAGTCTGTGAATGTGAGACTATAAATCTCCTCCATTAAGATCTCAAAGTTTATTCGAGTAAAAAACGGCCAGAGCCAGTCGTTCCTGGCCGGTTTATGTCTCCATCCACCTCCATCAAAGTGAGCCCTTGTTTCTCCTGTTCTGGGCCCTCTTCAATGGCACCTCTGTTTGCTCCGGTTGGATGAGTCTATCTTAACTCCCTCGCACACTCGTCCCCCCCCCCCCCTCCCCCTCTCCGCCTCTTCCCGCCCTGCTATTGAGAGTCAGGAAGCAGCCTCGGAGTGGCCCGGGGGAAGAAAAGGTGCCGTATCTGATCATATCATCGCACAGCGAAGAGCACATAGTGCGAGGCTTTTATATGGCCGCCGCCGCCAGTGTTGGGTTCCCTTTGGCGAGGGTCCACTTGTTGAGAGGAGAGGCCTGGCTGAAAGACGCGATTTGGTGGTGGGGAACCTCGGATTAGTGATATTTGATCCTCCCCCGTTTGGCATATGCCAAGAAAAGTCCCATAAACTTTGATCGCAGGCGCTGACAGTCAGTGTGTCTGTGTCTGTATGTGTGTGTGAGTGTGTGTGTGTGTGTGTGTGTGTGTGTGTGTGCGTGTGTGTACAAACCACACTTCCCCAATTCTTTTCTTTCGCTCCATCCAGACCACCTGCCGGTGGGTTTTAGTGCATCAACAGGGTTGGTACTCCCCCACACAGCAGCAGCAGCTTCCACAATGCCCGTGATTACTTGTGGTTTTTCGGCCAATTCTTTTTCACACAGGAGCGGGCGGACTTGGGTCTGCCAGGTGCGCATTTTTACTTTCGCTGCACCCGCCCGACGCGACTCAGCTCCCGGCGTGTTTTCGGGTCTCGCAGGGGAAATGGCGCAAGTTTGTCCGGCTGCACAGACCTACAGATTGTATGAAAAGGAGAGAAATGTTTCCAGGATTTGGGCTGCTGGCTAGAAATAAGATGTGCTTGTGTGAGAGTTGTCAAACTTTGAGGGTTGTTTTTTCCTTTTTTTTTTTTAACATGGTGTCAAGATGGCGCTGACCTAAGAGCATGACATTGAGATGATAACAAACATGGAATAACATATGAACACAAATGTATCCAGAACAGACCTCAGGAATGACAGAAAAACCTAGTCACAACGTGTCCACGACAACAGGAAAACACAACTAATCGTGCAAGACGTGTTAGTACATGGATGTAAAAGTGTTAGTGGGAGTAAAATTGAGCTTCTCGGAAGTAGGAGGTCAAACCAACCCAGGATTTATGCACCCAACCAGAATCAAACGACAATATCTTAATTTCACTAACTTGAAAGGGAGAAGTGGTCCAGATAAATGACCAAACGGCTCTCCAAATGCTGCATTGAATTAGTTTTTCTACCTATACCTATACAAAATGTACTCCTTTGGTTGGAAAAATGAAGCCAGTACCGTATCGTTTTGTGACTGGCTGGTTAGATAATGCAGAGGAATGTCACCCTCAGACAACCGCGCACGCATTTAACAGCCAACCGTAACCAAGAACTAATAGCTGTTGCTTGAGTACGTGTAAAGACGTGCGTGGCAGCTTTTTGTTAAAGTGCGGTGTGTTTTGACGGGACGTTTCTCTTACGCTGCCGACTCGTACACTTAACATCTTAAGGGTCCCATGTCACACACACCTTCAGACACCCGGAAAAGCTTTAAGTGGTTCCCAGCCTCGTAAAGCAGCCAGTGGGCAGAAGTCATTAGAGCTGCTGGAAGCACCACTCGCACACACACTCACACACACACACGCACACACACACACGCAGAGTGTCTGGTCCTGGGAGAGCTGGTTGTTTCCCATGAGCTGTGTCCATAACGCTCCCCAAGTACACGGGGTCTCTAATGAAGGCCGCTGGTTGTGGGCTGGCCAGGTCAGCTCTCCTGGACGATTAGAGAGGAAGGAAAAGACGGATGAACATAAGGAGAGGGCAAGAGGTGGAGCGCTCCCCCCTGTAATTTGCGCGGCCAGCGGGGATTCTGCGGCGGCTTCGGCCTCGGTTCCACAACAAACAAAAACCAAAGTCTTTTTTTTTTTTTTTTTTTGTGTCACCAAATTTGGTTTTACCGAAGGCTGTTATTATTTCAAACCCTTCGGATTGGTGCGTTTTTGAAGCTAAATTTAAGCGTGTCTCACGGGTGATTCAGGCCCCGGTGGTGGCGGAGTTGTCACTGTGGTCAGCCGCTGGACACGCTGCTGTGAAAGGACCAGAGAAAGGGAAGTGCGGAGGAAAAGGAGGGAGACCAGGCCCCCTCGCCCCCTTGGGCAGTCCTTTTAAAACAGATCAGACAAGACTAAAGGGGACTTAGCCGCGGCACAGAAGCAAACAGCCAGGAAATGAGAAGTGGTGGTGGTGGTGGGGGGGACAGGGGGAAACGGGGAGGGGGATTCAGACATCTTCCACTAACACTCCTAACTGAAAGCACCTGAGAAACAGACACAACTTATGAGTTGCTCCACATCGTATTTGTCCAATTCATCCCTTCTCTCTACCACTTTTAAAAAGGGTGAGGCAGTTTTTTTTTTGTTGATCTTTTTTAAAGTAACTATATGACACTGTATTGTCCAGTTAAAAATGAGAGCTGTCTTTGTGCTTTAATAGTGATCTCCGTCTGGACGAGGTCATATTTACTGGTAATGAGGAATAATAATTCAGAATGTACTCATCCAATTCCTTACCATTATCACTGAAACGGAGCCAGACACCGCGTTTGAGTCCCACAGAGATTTACATCCCTCCACCACGGTGGAATGAATGCAGAACCTAATTCACTAATCTTCTTAAAGAGCTCTAGAAAAGTGAGGGGCCGCACAGCTGCCAGAATCAGTGCAAACCCCATCCAGCTTTTTTTTTTTTCCCCGGCCCCCCCCCACATTACGCTACATGTGTGCGTAACCTCAGAGAGATGGCAAATGGCAGATTGGCCCCCGGGACGGGGGAAAAAAAAAAAAAAAAAAAACCCTTTCGGAGCGCCGCCCGGCCCACGGGTCAGATGTCACCGCAACATCTGCCGGCGGGCTGGAGCCGCCGCCCCGCGTCCCGCCGGCGGCCCCGGACCTGTTGCCACGGGCTACCGCGGCAGCCATAGAAGGAGAAGGCGAGCCAGAAGTGAGCACAATGTGTGTGTAAGGAAGGGGGGGGGGCTCTGGGTTTGGATGACAGAGGAGATAATAACAGTATCGGCCTCTGTGTCTCGCAGTTACACGATGCCTCCCGAACACCTGATATTTGCTCAGCTTCTTGATTTGTGCCCCCCCCCCCCCCCCCTCTCCCCCTTTTTCATGTCGCCTTTATTTACCTTTCCAGCTGCACGATGCTGTTGAGATTATCTCTCTCTCCAGATTTCTCTTGTTGGAGCAGCTGCTTTGCTCTGTTTGCACTGAACACAGGAAAGGCTCCATAAAGGATTCGTTGAATTTTTTCTTTTTTTTTTTTGTCTCGCCCACCTATTTTGTACCCCCCGTGCTCTTATCTAAGCAGCTATTTCAGTAAAAAATGGCAGTAAAAAAAGCCCCAAAAAAAGGGCTGTTTTGTGCTGAGTCTGGATTTGACGTGGGATCGCCAAGTTAGAGAGCAAACTGTTGGCATTCCTCGCCCAGCGTGTGCTACGGTTGACTTAAAGCTCGCACCTCGGCCAGAGTGTGTTTGGACAGAGCGTCCACGTGCTCTGAGGTGAGGGTGTGTGTGTGTGTGTGTGTGGGGGGGGGGCTCCGTGTTTGCCTTTTGGGCCTGGGTGCGAGACGCTGGGCAGTTTTTCAAGGGCAGATACCAGTTTCAAAGCTGGCCAGAGCACTCTGCAGGGAACCAGGAAAGTGCGACCGCCAGCCAGCCTCTTTTGAGGTTAAGAACCGGGCCGGGGACGCTCTTTAGAGTAAACAGCAGAATTCCTCCTGAACCGGCTGCCCCTTTCACTGAAAGACCCGACCAAGCCTGTTCCAGTTTTCTTTCATTCGGCCTCCTTTTGTTTGTCCGGCTGCTTGTGTGTGTGTTTTGTGTTTAAGGCTTTTTTGTCCCGCCTTACGCTTCGGCCCCTAACAGTGAAGACCACCATAAAGAAGAGTTTTTAGAGCCACTTGGAAAATCTTGAAAGAAAGTTTTCGAGAAAAAAAAAGGCATAGATCTGAATGCGGTGTCTCCCAAATGAAAAAAAGAGGCGGGTTCAGGGGCTTTAGAGTGTGTGTGCGGGGTTTTTTTGGAGGGAAACGACTCGATTCCAGCGACTGTACGGCGCTGAATAGATGAGGGGAAAGCAGAAATGAGAAAAAAAGAGGGCAGTTGTGGAATGAAAGAAGATTCTGAGAGAGATTTTTTTTTTTTTTTGGGAGACAGAGGAAGGAGAACAGGGGTTGAGGGGGGGAGAGAGAGAGAGAGAGAGGAAAGAGGAGGTGTAACAGCTGAATATGCCTGGCCTGTGGTCAGCTCTGAATGGGGAGGAAAAACAATGGGCCCACTCATCCTTCGCTCTGTGTCCCTCGTCTTTCTGCTCCTGTCTCGCTTCTCATTTCTCTTCTAAGTACACAGAGGGAGGGAGGGAGGGGGGGGGTATTCAGATACAACACTCCGAAAGATATCCAACTCAAGATGAGTTTATGAGTCTCTAAAAAGTTAGCAAACATAGCAGTTTTTAACTTCCAGTTTGAGTGACATTTGGTAGTTTTGCAGAATTTCTGATTCTGATGGCTGTTAGTGGAAGAGGGACGGGGGATGCCGTTGATGGAGGAAGGAGACAGAGCCGGAGTCAGGGAGGGTGGGGGCGTGGTGGTGGTGGTGGTGGAGGGGCCGTTCGGTCGGGAGGAGCAGCAGCTGCCGTCTCCTCATTAACATGCGCACCTGCTCCCCGCCGCCTTTTTCCAGCGGGCTCGTGTGGCGCCTCGCGACCTCAGCACCCCGCCACCGCTGGGGCTTAACCGGACTGGCCTTCCAGCAGCCAGATCGGCTGCTTCTTGGCTCACCCCCACCCCCCCCGACACCCCCCACCCGCCCAGGCCCCTTCACCCTGCTGGCTACGCATGCCTCTGCAGGCATTTCCAGTGATTCTGTGGAAGAATTTGCACTATTTTTGAGCATAAAGGTTCTCCCTCAGAGAGCATCCTGAATTATAGGTTTTGGTTTGTTGGTTAGGTTATAAAGAGAATGATCATATTGTCTGCATGGAGGCAAGGAAGAGCAAGTAATGCTAAAAAGAAAAAGGTTAAAAAACACTTGGTGAGACAGGAAACTGAGGCAGGAAACTCCATTTTTAAAAAGGCAATCCATTAACTTTTCCAGATTGCTGATTGGTTGTTGAGAGCGTATTTTTAAACTCCACAATCAAAGCTCGTTTCGGTGTTTTGACTGATTAAAAAGGTCATTTCCATCTCACACTGATGAGTTGTGGAAGGTGCTGCAGCTGTGACTGAAAAAGCCTGATTACTCTCCTTTTAATTCCTCCCTTGCTTTGAGTCGATGGCGTGAACTCCTGCTCGTTTGACCGTAGTTTGCCTCGGAGATCGGCCGCTAAAAGACGCGGGGACCTGCCCCCGCTCGCCGCTGCTGTTTGTGCAGCAGGCGGCCCAGAATGCCGTGTTTTCTTTCCTTTGCCACAGTCCCCGAGGCCGCGTAATCCCACGAGAGGGAGACCCTATCCAAACACACTCCTGTCCCCTCGGAGGGGGGGGGCCGCTCACACACGCATGCCGAACACCCTGGGAACGTTTGGGGACACGGCCCTGCCGCCCCCCCCCCCTCGGGGGGCGAACAGACTTTCTGGCTCTGGTCAGGTATTTCAGAGTGACTCCGGGTTCATGTGTCGTGGGAAGCCCGCTTTGACACCGGCAGGATGTTTTCAGGCATAACCAGAATAAAAAAAACACGGCAGAAGCAACAGGATAAAATGGTCATACCTACACAGTCCCCCCCCCCCCCCCCCCAGTGTCATTTTCCTCCCCGCCGGGGGCTGTCTGCCGTTTTATCCCCCCGTCTGATGCTGGGTGAAATGCTCTCTGGGGAGGAAAGAATAATAAGCGCAAAGGTGGCGGCGCGGCTCTTTGAAGCTGTCACACTGTCAGCTTGCAGCTGAAACTGTGTTGCCGCTTTGTCATCAGGATGAATGAGCGATGACAAAAGGGCCAAAGGGAGAGTGCTGATGGAGTGGACCCTTCTGGCCGCTTCAGTTCTGTCTATGCTCTTGGAAAGGAAGGATCAGGGAGTGTCCGATATTGAGATTGTTTCTTTTTTTTGCCCAAATCTCTGCATCTCATGAGATGTTGCGTGTTTGTAATGATGTAAAGCTTACGAATTCCATGATGAGCTATTTACTGTTTGAAACTTATAGTATAGTACACCCAGATGTTGTATGAATTTACTCCTTCTGTCAGTTTGTGTTGATCACAGTAGCTTTTGGGCGCGTGCGTGAGCACCGTGTGTGTGGCCGTGTGTGTTCTCCGGGGACGCCCCCTCAGCTCCTCTCACTTTGATTGTAACTGTGTGAATGCATTTGTTTGCTGGGGTCCGACCGGCAATTACAACTCAACCTGCGAGAAACATCCCAGGAGTTTGACCCCCCCTCCCTCTGCCCCGGCCGCTCTTGTTTCCAGCCCTGACGGCATTGTTCGCAGGGGGGCTACGGCAGAGGCACAACCGTGTGGCTTAAAGCCCAGTTTATCAGGGCTAGGCTGTAAAACTGCCACAGAGGCACCCTAACAGCTGATTTATGTGCACATTTACACTTTAAAACGGGTTCTTTGCCTCTTTGGTGTGTTGCATTCATCTTGAAAACTCCTGAAAGGATACTTTTCAGGAATTTCCTGCCTCTTATCGGAGAGACCTTGGAATAAAGACAGACAAATGCAAAAAACAAGAGAAAAGACAGATAATTTGAATGAATTGATCTAAAAATAAAGTTAATTATAGAATACAACGGTGACAAAATAACCCCACTTGCTCAGGCCCAGATGAGTTGTTGTTGACATTCTAACCCTAACCCTGCTCCTAATATCATGCAGGGACTGTCCAGAACTAATCCTTGTAAAACTTTATGGTTCCTAGTTAACCCAAGTCTAATACACCCAAATCCTCAATGAGGTTGGTCAGTTTGGTCATGTTTCTACAGCTTGAAGGTACCGTACAACATAGATTGTACGGTACATCACCAACACTACCCGTTTATCTTTAAGGGGCTTCCGTTGACGTCTACCTGTCCCTTCCTTCAGGTGCCGGGATGGATATGTCGGAAGCAGGTGCCAGTTTCACGACCCCTGCAACAACGCGCCGTGCATGAATGGCGGCACGTGCCGCTCCTTCTCCAGGGGCAACACGGTGGACTTCAACTGCAGCTGCCGGGCCGGCTACACGGACCGCCGCTGCCTGACCCCCGTCAACGCCGCCTGCCTCAGTTCTCCGTGTCGCAGCGGCGGGACCTGCGAACCGGAGGGTCTCCAGGGATACAAGTGCCGCTGCCCGCCGGGATGGACAGGTAAGAGGACAATGTCTATGTTCATGCATTGAGGAGACACTTTTATCCCAAGCAGCTTACAAAGTAGACACAGTTATACAGTTATCATCAATGTGATAAGAAGTTCTCTAGAGGAAAATCCCTAGTCAGAATCGGTAGTGGCAGCAAAGAGAGAATGAGAGAAGGAAGTGAACAAAGAGTAGTAGAGGGGGTATAGAGCTATGGGTAAGAGTCAGGATAAGCGATCTTTAAGAGTTTCCTAAAGATAGAAAGGGACGCTGCTGTTCTTGTAGCGCTTGGTAGGTCGTTCCACCATCTTGTAACAACACATGAAAATAGTTTGGATTGTCTTAAGCGTGGTGTAGGTACTGCTAGACGACAATCTGTTGATGACCGAGTTGTGACATAAGCCTTTGCAGGAGGCTTCAAGTAGATGGTAGTCGTACCCTTAGGCACTTTGTAGGCTAGCATCAGGGACTTGAATTTGATGCGGGCAGCCAGGGGTAGCCATTGGAGCTCAATGAACAATGCGATGCAATTCAGGAGACTTTCGGATTAAGTTGGAAAAACCAAGCTTCGTTTTTTAAAAAGGGTCTGTTTGGGTAGCAGCGTGTTAGGGAAAGATTCCAGGCTCGGTTGAGATGGGCTCCACCTGTAACCTCCTTTCCCCGGGTCTTCAGGGAAGGACTGCGGCAAAGCCGACGCCTGCGCCTCCAACCCCTGCGCCAACGGCGGGAGCTGCTCCTCTTGGGAGTCTCTGTTCGTCTGCAGGTGCACGCCGTTCTTTTTCGGCCCGACCTGCAAACAGGACGTCAACGAGTGCGACGCCAGCCCGGCGCTCTGCAAAAACGCCGGCACCTGCGTCAACGAGGTGGGCGGCTACCGGTGCCTGTGCCCGCCCGAGTACAAGGGCAGGCACTGCGAGAGCCGCTATCTGCCCTGCAACCCGTCGCCCTGCAGCAACGGAGGCACCTGCATTCAGAAGGGAGACACCAGCTACGAGTGCTCCTGCGTGCCAGGTAATGGGACTTTTTGCAACTTTTTGCTTTCGAAAATTGGCACTTTGGCTCCAGTCATCCCAAGTTGCAAAGCTGGAACTAGGGATGTCCCGACCCAGCTTTTTGCACCTCTAAATCCAATACCGATCGCAGCCTATCAGAGCATGTATTAAAATTTAAAGTTATTTAGCCTACTTACTTAGTTGTCAGACTCATGTTGAACAGGGATTTACTCTTAGAACAGCTTCATGGTTAGGACACAGACCTGTGGGTTAGGAGATGCTAATGCTCGTGTGGGATCAGACTTAAAAAAAAGCTGGATCGGGAGTCTGGATCTGCATTTTCTCATGCCGTCTGATTTGCATTTTTTTGCGAATATCGGCGGCCGATCCGATCCAAATATCGGATCGGGACAAGCCTAGCTGGAACACCGGCTTGGAGGTGAAATATGAATGCGACTTCGGAGATCGTTTGAGATCCGGCGTGAGCCGCTCCCTCTCAAATTGAGTCCGTCTCATTCATTTCTAAAAACAAATAAATGACTTGAACTATCAGTGCTTCCTGACGGCCGAGCAGTGAAGTCATCGCACGACAGGGCTGTTCCTGCTTGTGTTGTGTCCTCCGTGGGTCTGCGTGCATGTGCGTTTCTGCCTCGGTTTGGCCCGTGTGTGAACAAAGTCAGGCAGGAAGGCTTCGGGGCTTATCGTGAGGAAGTGCTCAGAGGACGGCCTCCGGTTCACATGGTTGGGGAGGAGGAAAGCTCGCCGGGACCGCAGTCCTGCCCAGAACGCTCTCACCTTCGCACAGACTGACTGCAGGCTTCAAATGTTCATGTGCCGAGTTTGTTTTTGGAAAAACTCCACCCCGTGTCACACACAGCCTCCCCCTGTTCCTCGAAAAGCCCGAAGGTCACTTTCAAGGATGTTAGCTGATACTTTTACTCATTAAACCAACAGAATATGTCCTTAAAGATGTGTTTTTATGTCAAATCAGACCAGTTAGTTAGGGATTTGATCTTCTTCAATACCGTACAGTACCTGTCTCTGTTAGCATTTCCTGGAATTGAATGAACCTGATGACAAATAGGTATTTTCTTAATGGGACTGTGAAAAACATGACCTTTCCACAAGACTTTTTATTTTGAAAAGCATCAGGCGTTTCATTTTTTTTTAGAATTGATAAGTCTGTTTAATTTTTCATGTTATTTAAACTCTCAAAAGGTTGTGGTTACCTAACAAAAAGCATAAAACATAGACTTCTGGAAACTGGCGTCAACTGTTTAAAACCACCTTAAGGATTTTTTTTAAGGAGTGTCAGACTGGGGGAAAAAAACAAAAAACATGTGCTGGCTTTGCTTTGTATTTTCGACAACCTAGCACCCCCCCTCCTGCAGTCCAGTGGTTGCCTCTTGTGTAACGGTGTACTTCATGTCGTCTTGCCACAGATGTGTACAGCTGCCTTCTTTTCCTGGGAAGGAAAAGACAGTTGACCACATTTAACTGAAGACGAGTGTAACTGCCTTTTTTTTTTTTTCTCCTGTTGAAACCAGCAAAAAAACGAGTAATCGACTTAGAGGGGAAAAAAGAGATGACGATCCCACCGAGAAGTGAATAGGTTTCCACTGGGTGGCTGATGATTGTTTTGTTTTTGTCAGGTTTCACGGGGAAAAACTGCAACCACAACATCGACGACTGTCCAGGCCACGAGTGCCAGAATGGAGGGACCTGTGTGGACGGAGTGAACACCTACAACTGCCAGTGCAAACCAGAGTTCACAGGTTTGTGCGCCGAAAACAAAAATGACACAAAATTCCCCGCTTTTTTGGGTGTTTTTTTGTCTAATCCACCAACCGGTTGCCCCCCCCTACAGGCCAGCTCTGCATGGACGACGTGGACGAGTGCCAGCTCATGCCCAACGCCTGCCAGAACGGCGGCACCTGCCACAACACCTACGGCGGATACCAGTGCGTGTGCGTCAACGGCTGGACCGGCGACGACTGCAGCGAGAACATCGACGACTGCGCCAGCGCCGCCTGCAACCACGGCTCCACCTGCCACGACCGCGTGGCCTCCTTCTACTGCGAGTGCCCCCACGGACGCACAGGTGCGCAGGCAGTCCTTCTGCGTGGTTGAAGCCGCAAAAAGATGAGCCCTGAGCGCCTCTTAACTCACTGGCTGCCAAAGACGTCTATAGACGTCTTTTATGTTTTTCTACGAGAGTGGCTTGGGGGACGATCCGCTAAAGCTTGTCCGTAAATATCAGGCTTCTAGACAGAGTATGTAGTAACAAATTGACCCTCTAGGTGGCAGTGCCACTTTTGATGGGATGTGAGCATATATTGTAGGCAAATAAAAAAAAACGCAATGGTTCGCTATGAGGGAAATGAGACGCCGGTGAGACGCAAGTTGAGGAAGAACGAAATAAGGTAGAAACATTTTTTTTTTCCTGATGAAAGAAGAGAGTCTACTCTTTCTTTTGGTGTGTTCAGTGTTTACATAGTCATAGCACAAACTGTTCTGTGGCTCTTGAAAAATTAGTCAAAATGCTCAAAAAACTCTGGCAGTATGGGACTCTCTGTTCTGAAAATGGCTGGCAGTCAATGAGTTAAGTGGGCGCAATTGGTTAGAAATGCCAAATTGGATGACCAATGGAGTCAAGTTCTTCCAGGTTGACTTTTTCTTTTTATGTCTGCATGGTAAAATAAAAAAGAAAGAAAAATAATAGAAAAAATCAGCTAAAGAAGTTAGGTTTGGTGGGTTTTTAGGGGATGGCGGGAGACAGGAGGGTTGAGTCAGGTGATGACCGATGGTGGTGTTTAGTGCTATCTGTGTGCCCCCCCCCAGGTCTGCTCTGCCAGCTGGACGACGCCTGCATCAGCAACCCGTGTCAGAAAGGCTCCAACTGTGACACCAACCCCGTGAGCGGGAAGCACTTCTGCAACTGCCCCTCGGGCTACTTCGGCCCCTCCTGCGACCAGGACACGGACGAGTGCGCGCTAGGTAAAGCTGACCATCCATAGCTCTTTAGCACGAGCCAGAACGTAAGCTCGGTCTTTCCTGCCATTACGGGTGCTTTGCTACCCGTAATTCTGCCCCATAATTGCGGAAAATAACACCCTCTGGGGGTTATTATTGCCGTAATCACACAAGCGAGGGTTTGTTTCAGCCTTGTCAAACGAGGATAAATTTCTCTCGGCTTAAAACGGTCGGGAACGATCTTAGCGGCGTAATTGCTGCGTTTCGGCTAGACTAACCGCTCAAAGAAGCGAGGTCAAAAGCGTTGTGTCTGTTCCAACAGGCTCCAACCCGTGCGAGCACGCGGGGAAGTGCATAAACACCAAGGGCTCGTTCCAGTGCAAGTGCCAGCGGGGTTACGTCGGCCCGCGCTGCGAGCTGGACGTCAACGAGTGCCTGCCCAACCCCTGTCAGAACGAGGCCACCTGCCTGGACCAGATAGGAGACTTCAGCTGCATCTGCATGCCAGGTGAGAAGCTCCAGTATGAGAGGAATTATGACCAAAAAGAAAAGGATTTGTGTTTTTTTTTCCTTTTATTTTTTTCTGAAATTCACTCCAACCTTGGGCTTGTTTTCATTCGCATTTTTGGTGTGAAATATCAATAGGCATAGAAATGAATTAAGTCTGACCCGTATTCACTTAATAGGGCGATTAACCAGGAATACGGGTTGGCAAATTCATACCAGCCGACTCTATGAAACGATTTTACGCTTTTGAACAAAACAAAATCATAAGAACCTGCATCCGAACCAAATGTTTCCTTAACCAGTCATTTGCCAAGAAATGTACCATTGTTGAATTTTATAGGGAATCTACTTAAAGTTACTTAGTTTCTCCTTTTCTTCTGTCAAACATGGTGCAAACCTTTAAAACGAGCAAGATGGCGACACCAACTTAAACCCAACTTAAACCTAAAGAATAACTGGCCGTTTTAAAAATCCCATATTGTTGGTTATTTCATTGCTGCTGCTTATTTACTGTAACTCACAATTCAGCAACGTGTCGGCAATTCTTCTTGCCTCTGTCTAACCGATCCCCCCCCCCCCCCCCCGGCTGTCTCTCGCTAATTGGCCAGGCTACGAGGGGCAGTTCTGCGAGATCGATACGGACGACTGCGCTCACAGCCCCTGCCTGAACAACGGCAAGTGCATCGACAAGATCAACAGCTACGTCTGCCAGTGCCCCACAGGTGAGGCCGCCGCGGAGAGGGAGGGGGGGGAGGGGGAGGGGGGGGGCATGGGAGGGGCACGGAGGTCGATGCAACTTGGTCTGTGCCCTGCTCCCTCCTTTCTCCTCTCAAAAACACAAAAAACACACACACAGTTCGACACACACCTCTCCGGACGGGTGCTAATCCCAGCCCCGAGGCGGGCTCACGCAGGCCCGGGCACCCCCCCCCCCCCCCACCCCCCCGCACAAACACTGCCACTGACAGGGGGGGGTTTAAAAAAAAAAAAAAAAAGGGAAATCTTTAGGGAAAAGCTGGAGGAAGTTTGAACTTTTTTTTTTTTTGATCGAGTTTCTCATCCCTTTCATCAGGTCTGATGATTGAGCAGAAAAAACTTTTGGCTGCGACGGACCAGGAGGGAGTTTTAAGAGCTCCACAAACTGGCATTTTCCCGTCAATGCGGGCGTCTTTTTGAAGGGCAGCTTCTTTCCTTCTCCTCCTTTCTTTTTTTCTGCCATTCAGTGAATGGTATTTGGATGAGAGGTGCTGCCGCTTTATTCAGGAGGGCAGGAATTCAACTTTTGAATTCTGGATGGGAAGAAAAAGAGAGAAGGAGAGAAAGAAGGTGTTGTCTTTTTTTTTGTTTTCCATTCTTTCACAGGGATGACTGAGGTGGAAGTGATTTTTTTTTTCATTTGGAAAAAGGAAAATAGTGAAGGCGGGTGGATCAAAGGGTGGAGAGAGGCCGAATTCCGCCTGTTGAGAGAAGGAGAAAAGAAGAAGGAGAGACAGAAAGAGGGGGGGGGTAGAGACATATCCCAACAAGAAAGCTTTAGAATTAAAGAAGAGGAGTGAACATTAGAGCTTAACGCCCAATAAAACTCCCTGTGTGAGGAAGCAGCTCAAAGTGGTGAAAGTGTTTTTTTGTTTTCTTTTCTTTTTGTGTGTGTGTGTGTCTGTTTTGTTTTTTTAAAGATGGGTGGGGGGTGTTGTGTGTGTGCTGAGCTGCACCGACCGTTATGCAGAGGCAGGAAGGGTACCGCGGGGGGGTAGGGGGGGGGTTAACCGCCCTGCTTGAGATGTAAATTTGTCCCCGAGGCGAGGTCCCCCCCTTTTCATTTCTGTACACGGAATAGCCATGGAAACCCCACCGAGAGCCATTGAAATGTCTGATTCCAGAAGTCTTGGGATAAATAACCCCCCCCCCCCCCCCCCCAGCTGCATAGAGGTGCCTGAGTGTGCACGCTTGTGTCCCGGCTTTAGCTTTTATGTGTGCGTCTGGCTGAGAAATGCAGGCCCATTTTCTTTCATTTCAGTCGGGATCACGTTTTTTAGGGGGCTCGTTTTTAGTCTTCACTGCTTAGAAATGTGCGTCGGCGTGTCGTCCAGACGAATAAATCCTCCGTTTAGCCCCACTGGAGGGATTTCAAACTGCTCCAAAGCAGTTCTACTGACAGAAGAGAGGCCTCTTAGCCCTTGAAACAAATCATAAATTGAATTTGGTTTTCGCTTTGTCCTATTGACAGTTTTTTTTTTGTTTTTTGTTCTTCTTTTGCTTTTCGTTTGCACAATCACACAGAAATCCATTAGCCAAACATTTAGCCAAAGGAAGGTTGGAGGTCACAGCCTGTCAGTAAGAAGTGGGGGATGAAAAAACACAGGAAGGTGGGTGGGTTCCAGATCCACCTGCAAAATACGTCTGCAGTCCTCAGTCTGTATTTGAAATCTATATGCTATAACACATTTTTGTGTTGAAAACTAGCCCTGAAACCGGATTATTTGGGCCAAACCGATGTATCGATAGTCTTTTAAGCATTTATCGGGACCTACGCAGAATTTCCCTGACACGGGCCTGCGTTTCCATCCCGGAATTAAACTGTTAGCGTTTCCAGTCGCTCTTCTATGAAAACAATTCGAGTGGAACTGCACGTGTGCAGCTGCTTCTCCTGTGTCTGCATTTGTTGTGACTCCTCCGGCCAATTTGCTCGTCCGCTGGGAGAAATCAGCTCTCGGGCCGCCACATAAACGCTTCCTTGAAAGACGAGCCGCGGCCGAGTCTGCGTCTGTCTCTGAGATGCTGCGGTGCAGGAAAAGGGGAAGTTCTACTCATTATCTCTTCATCAGACAACATCCTCCCCGTTCCCGGGGCTGTGACGAGAATATTCCAGATGAGAATAACTCCCGGAAAAAAGGATGAAGCCTGCTGGTAGATTATGAATGAATAAGAGTGTGAATGGTACAGGGTCAAAGGTCAGGCTGGCTCCTTTTTAGGGAGCAGGCGGGGAGAGGGGCGGGGGGGAGGAGGAGGTGGAAGCAAGACAGGAGAATGCACATTGTGATGGAAAAGCTTCGGGGGACAAAGGAGGCAACCGGCTCAGTTTGGCGCTGCGTGGAGCAGACAGGCCCTCCTTTGTCTCTCACCCCTCGGTCAGGAGGCCTCACCACTTTCATTCTTCCCCCCGTTTCTTCCCCCTCTCTCCTTCCCCCAGTTTGAACCATTTGGTTCCCGCACTCTCGCCTCTCCCTTTGGACTTGGCGCTGAAAAGACAGAAGAAGAAAAGAAAACGGAGAGCTCGGTCGTTAATTAATATGCAGATTTTTTGCGATTGGTTTAGAGTTCTCATAGGACCGGTCCGGGATTAAGAGTGGAACTGGTTTTGGAATGGTGAGAACAAAGTGGCCATGTCTGTATACTTGCCCGCGTACACCCCTCCACCACCCCCCCACCAACACACACACACACACACAGACTCACACACAGTCCTTCACGCACCCACGCACGCGTTAAAAGCCTCTTGTTGTGTTTCCAGGCTTCTCTGGGAACCTCTGCCACATCGACATCGACGAGTGCGCCAGCACGCCGTGCAAAAATGGCGCCAAGTGCACGGACGGGCCCAACAAGTACACCTGCGAGTGCACGGAGGGTAAACCAACCGAGAACGACTTCAGAAAAACCCCTTCATCTTGAGGTTTTTAAAATAGGCGGATCCGTTCTAAAGAGACCCCCCCTTTGCCTTTCCCAGGTTACACCGGCCGCCACTGTGAGACGGACATCAACGAGTGCTACTCGGACCCCTGTCACTACGGCAACTGCGTGGACGGCCTGGCCTCCTTCAGCTGCCACTGCCAGCCCGGCTTCACGGGGCGGCTGTGCGAGACCAACATCAACGAGTGTCTGAGCCAGCCGTGCAGGAACGGGGGCACCTGCCAGGACCGGGACAACGCCTACGTCTGCAGCTGCCCAAAGGGCACCACAGGTGCCACAGCCCCCCACCCCTCCGAAAACGTCCGCCTCCCCCGATCCGTCTCGGTCACTCGCGCTCACTCGATAAAAATCGTTCTCCCCAGGCGTCAACTGCGAAATCAACATCGACGACTGCAAGAGCAACCCCTGCGACTACGGGACCTGCATCGATAAGATCAACGGCTACGAGTGCGCCTGTGAGCCCGGATACACGGGTAAACATACACCGCCACGGAATAAAACACACACGTGCGATGGAATGGTCAGAAGGAATAGTTACTGTGAAAATCTCAGAAATCGTTTTGGCGTCTTGAATGAAACTAATTAAGCCCAAATGGTAAATTACGCAAGAAAATGTAGGGAAAAGTCACATTTCTTTGTAGAAGGTTGTGGAAATACAGTGGGGGAAATAAGTATTTGACCCCTTGCTGATTTTG